TTATTCTTCTTCTCCTGGAAATGTGACTGTAATACAGCTCTTGTTGTAAGCCACAACAGGTTGTTTTTCTAATTCCATGTTATTGCTGCTATTACTTAATTCTTGTAGTCATATCCCATTTTTACCCTTCAATTTTACCAGATGATGAATATACAGCACAGAAGAAAGTATCAAATACTCAACATCACGCTCTGCCTTCCAAGAGAAGTGGGAAATCAAGAAAGTCAAATAAGTAATAAATGCACATACACAAATCTACAAGGCCACTACTGTCCAAAGATGAGGAAAAACTTAAAATTAGCCTATTATACAACATTCAGTTGTTTGCACAAAACTACTATTCTGCATTCTGGAAATAATTTAAAAGTAGCCTTTGTCAAGCTGTTTGCACATCTGTCTAATTTTAGAAGCTTTCTTAAGGACATTCTTGTATTTAATACAAGAATACAAAAAGTTCCAATCTAGAGTCACTTTGGAATCTAAGTCAGTTATTGTCAAACTCAACCTACAATGTTTGGCTTAAGGTTATTGGTATGTTCTAATTAAACTTGATCACCCTCAATTACACGCTGCCCCTAGAAAAGTGCTTGTCTCCACTTTCCATATTTCCCTCTTTTTCTGAAGAAAGCCTAATAAACATGGGTTACAATGTTATGTTGCAATTTACAATATAAAAATCATATGAGTTGCCAATGTTAAATTTTCTGATAATGTAAGAGGATTAATTTTGGAACTGCACATAGATATTAGCATAACTTATGCTGCTCTGTATTCACTTCAGCATAAAGTGTAATATTTAAACAGTCAGTGAAATCGATTCTGTGCTCTATGAATCAGTGTGAGGCTTCTATTTTTACATAACATTTTATTCAAAGAATCTGGATTTACTTAATTACGCTATCACACTTGCTTTAATTCTTCCTACCGCTTCAGCTCATCTGTCCTTGACCTTTCTAGAACAAACTTCTCTTCACCATCAATGTTGGCAGCAGAGATCTCCATTTATAATCCCAGTAGAGCTTTTCAGCTTGTGCTCCACTTGGTGCTTTAGCTCAAATGTTGGTGTGCCTCATTAGGAAAGCAGACCTCAACAATTGGCAACTTCAGGCTTATCTCAAAGCGAGAAGAAAATCTGCTCTCCCTCATTTCCTCTCCAATACACTGAAAAAGAGACTCCTACATTATTTCCACAAAACAGCAGGTGAAAAACTTGACTAAACTTCCTTTCTGGCAACATAACGTTGCCATAGGATAAGATTTAGTACATTACAAAATGCTGTGGCAATCAGTTACAGAAATGCATACATATAAAATCACTGCAGTTGTTTATACTTGCTTAAGATTACATGAGAATATTTTATTTAAGTCTATCAAATACATTTAAGTGAAAAACCACTGTAATTAGTACAAGATTTACTTAAAACAGTTTCAACTTGTTTGAAAGAAAGTTGCTTCTAAAGTAAATGGAAATCAACTGTAAAAAAGTCTGCTCCCGTGATACTGTCTTTTAGTACAAAATTAAGTCAAACCCTTGTGACATTTCTTACCATTTCTACAACATTGATTTGCAAAGTTACCTATGAAACTCCACTTTCCTTTTAAAAAGTTTATATCCACGAAATTTCTCTTACCTTGGAAGATTCCAAAAGCCCATTTCACACAGGTGTTAGTGGTTGCTGTCTGCAGCCAGTTTGCTTTGCTCCCCAGATATGCCTACCCTGGGAGGTTCAGAACTGACATTCCTTCATGCTCCCCATTTATTTAATAATTCCTTAGAGACAAACCAGCCAGGACAAAGAGTCTGAGATTTATTTTTTTCTCTGGCCTCAAGGTTAACCTGTTCAGAGGAGTCACTACTGAGTAGCAGCAAACATACTTATCTGCTGAGTTTTGTCTGGTCAGTGCACAGATCCCACACCAATTTTCTTTATGTATATATATATATATATATATAAAACACTGATGTTGCAAGTAAATCTTTGGAGTCTAAGTTAATTTTATTTGTTGTTCTTTACAGATATACAAGTTTCTGAAGCTGGAGCATTAGGTGTGAAAGACAGGAAAATAGCAGCAAGATGCTAGATTTTAATAGGCTGCTTTTAGTATACTTTTTTTTCTTAAGTGACTTTTTTCCTGTTGCAGTTTCAGGCTGTGGCAGGCTCATTATAAATGCACTGAACAGTTGCCTGTTCTTAAAGTACTAAAAGCATATAGCAATTTATTAAAAACATGAAATATGTACTTCAGGATCACAAAAGTGACAAACTCCTCCTGTTAAGTGTTGGCAATATCCCATTGTAACCAAAACCCTTTTTAAACAAGAGGGGTTTTTTTCAGCTAGGTAGCTGAGGCACAGAATTTGTAACACTTCTAGAACTACTCAATTAGTCTGATATATTTTGTTTTTCCACAGGTTTTTTTTTTGTAATGGTACTCACAGAAGTCATCAGTAGTTTGGTTTTACTATTTTCAGTATGGCATCAGCAGAAGTACCTGTACCATGTCCTACACAACTCTTAAAAAGCTCAGTCTGGTCTATGCTTTCAAATTTTGTCTTAAAATGCACCAAAATCTGCTGTTTCGGGAAAAGACTGCAAGAGAGGGGGTGAAGTGGGGAGAAGAAAGCAAAAAAATAAAGCAGCCTTCTAAAAAGCAAATATTTTCCACTGAGTAAAGCTAAATATGCTAGCAAGATATAATCAAGTATCTAAAGGTTTTGTTATTACGTGTTGGATAAGTTCTCTTGTATCTTCTTCTTTAGTACTAACCAGTGAATATTCTGTCACATACCAAAACCAGCATTTGATAATCTTAAATTGACATTTTTTTCCTCCCAAAAAAATCTATATTACAAGTGAAACATTTTAAAAGCACCCTATTGACAAAGTCAAATATTTATAATTTATTTTAAATGAGAAATTACTCTGACTTCATTTAAACTTAGGGTAGCCTATATTAGTTTTGCTATAACCAGAGAAAAGCAAAAGCTAAATAAACCTGTTACTCATGTCTCCAATTTCAAATAACTGAAGCTGAAAAACATTAGGGGAAAAAAGGGTGATCCCTGTGACAGTAGTTCACAGCCTTAGCTGACATGGTCCCAGCTACTTCTAACTGTAATTTTTTAGTATTTGGGTTTTGAAGTTCTGCTGGCATTCTGTGGAAAATAATGTTACATTTCCCAACTGGAAAATACTCACTTTTGAATCACCAAATCAGTAGATTTCTGTTTAAAAAGGTGTCAAACCTAACATGCAAAGAGAATGGACCTTGCCTCAGTCAGAAAGATTAAAGAATCACAGAAAATCTCTGTACAATTTCCTCTGCTGTTCATTATAAAACATTATCCACAAAGAGTCTAGTGGAATGAAAGAAAAAATAATGGTGAGAACCATCACTTTATGCCTGAATATTGGCTATACCTCCCCCTTGCACATGTGGAAAGCATGAAACTCAAGCTTTTAAGAAAAGGTTTGCTCTCCTCATTTGATAACTTCCTGGGAAACAATTAATAGGAGAAGAAAACAAATCTCATGTGGGTGGAAAAAAATTAAAATAAATTTTAAAAGCTTAGCAAAGCTCCCTTCCCCTCCTCCCACCCTCTAACACTAGGCTTTAGATATCTCTGCACCAGAATTTCTACCTAGCTTAATCTTTGACTCTGCATCCTCTCCCTTTGAGAAACTTTGCTAAAATGACACTTCAGAACAACTGTATAGAAAAAAAATAAGTGTATTTACTACAGTTGTTTTGTTGGAAGTGCTTCTCACCCCATCTTGAAACAGACAATGTAGGAATAAAATGTTGGAGGGAGTAATTAATTGGCATGGAGACTTTGAAACAGATATATCCTCTTTTTGTGGGTGTAACTGTAAAAAGGAGTGCACGAAAAGGCTTGAGGAAGTGAAGCAAGCACAGCAACCTAGCTAGATTTTTTGTTGTTGTTTTTAAGAGGGGAACTGGAAGCTCCTTTGACAAAAATAGGCCTAAAATAAAACTCTATTGAAAAATTTCAGACCTTGGGAGACTCTCACTGTTCACTAATTTTCTAGGCCATGATCCTTCAGGGTAGATTTGGGACCTGTTAGTAACAGTAGTGAAATAATTACAGGTAATTGTAGATATAGTTACTCAATTGAATTAATATTTAAACACTTCCACCAAGCACTTTTAACTCAATTTACATTTTAAGTAATTGTTTGGCACATAGCAAAATGCTCCATTATTATTTAAAAAGTATTAGTGTGGTTCTCCTCAGCCTGACTTTTAAACAGCAAACATATGCCAGCAAGCCTCACAATTTTAAGGTCACATGTGAACATCAATAATAGGATATTGACAACGTTTATGATTATTTTTACACTATGGGATGTAAACTGTAGCTTTTAAAAACATAACTTGCAATTGGCTATAAACCTGCCATTCTTTGAGTCCTCTACAGTTGTTAAACAAGTGTCAACAAAAAGTACACTTCACACATTTTCAGACACTCCATTTTTATGCACAGTTAGTTTTTTATACACACACTTCTCCAGTAAAACCATGTCTCTATATGAGAGTCGTAGATAAGTTAACAGCAGAACCATTAAGATTTAAGTTAATATTGATGCACTCATATCTAAAGTATAAACAAGTTGCTGAACCTCTGCCACGCTTAAGCAGCACAATAATATTGGGGTTTAAGGTTTATTTTACTACGCCAATATTTACGTGCTGCTAGGGCGGAACAAGTGTGACAACTCTTCTGTTCATCCACACGTCAGGAACACCAATTTCTTAGCAGAAAAAATTTGTATTAGTATCTTCAACTGCTTCTCTTCCTTAAATTTCTAAAGCAGCAAATAATGATTCGCATCTTTATCAGAGCATGCAAATCATGATGTGCTGCTAGAGTACTTTAAGGCCTCAAATACAAGACTTAAATCCTAGAGAGTATTTCTTTTTATAAGTATAACTGGAAATACAACTTTACTTAAAATGGTTTTTATTCATACACCAACCTGTAAAATTAAGAACCTGTTATGGTCCAGATCAATTCCATGGCTTCGAAGAAGAATACCAACATCTTTGAATGTCTTTTTCTTTCCATTGATGTTGTAGACAGAAGAATTATCTCTATAAGCAGTTCTAGATACACAAAAATTGCTGTTAGGAATGACTTCGTAATCATCTCCTTCCTGTTTTGAGGAAAAACAAAGCCAGAAAAACAATTACTATATCACAGCTTTACTTCATATTTCACAATTAAGCACAGAAGTTTTACCATGTTCAGGTTTTAAGTCAACTGCACTCTGGGGTCTAGTAGAAGTGGAAACTGTCTTAAAGCTGCAAATCTTAAAAAAAAAGTGAGAAAAAACCCCCAAAAAGCTCTTGAGAACTGGACAAAAAATAGCCCGAATTCTTTAAACTGAATGGCCTTCATATTATGCCTTCCCCACCTCAAATACAAGCTATTGCTTTGAAAATACTTCATTTATTCTCTTTACCCACAAAGGAAAAGGCCTACTTCAAATTTAAAGTGCCTGTGCTATTCCACCTTTTAAATTTTAGATCAGGAAGTCTGAAATGACTTAAATACTGTTTGCATTTTAAACTCCTCTTTTCTAGTGCTAAGAAAAGGAGTTGCTTTTAGCTGAGCAGTTCTAAAGAGAAACTGTAGAAGATAAAAAAGCAAAACATTAAAGATGTGACAAATATGACATCATCAACTTCAAAAGATATCTTAGACTTACCTACAAAGCAGCAACTAAAATAAAGCTGGTACTATACTTTTAAAAAGTTGAAATTGAGATATGCTTCTTCTAAAAATTTAAACTGGCCCACCACTTTTCCCAGATTAACCCCCAGGAGCATAATCAAATTAGTATCTGGTGCAAGCAGAAGTTTTTGAGATCAAAAAAAAATCAGCTCCTAGATGTTAATACAAAGTCAAGGAAAAAAAAAACCCATATATTTAATTTTTTTTTTAATCTGGTTATTATATATACAAACAAAATGTATGTGTGTATACAAATCAAGTCAAAGAAAAAAACCCTGTCCTTTAAAACAGTTCCTTCAAAGGCTGTGTATATTGCCACTTTATTAACACAATTTTTGAAATTTCAGTGTCCTTTCCCCACTATTTTGACTGACCCCAAACTCCACAGTTGATATTTCAGCTAGAAAGTGTGCACAAAAATAAAATCTAAATTAAATAAGAGAAATATATTCCTTGCACTGTAATTGCAATAAATCAATAAAAATGTCCAGAAGTCTTTATCAATACATGAAGTGACAAGCAAAATAAATATATTTTTTTTATTTGCCAACACTTTCTATTTCATCCAAACAAATTATCAGGTTCAAAAAATTTTTAGTGGTAAGATGTGAGGTCCAGAATTTTTGATGAAAAATCTGTTTTAGAATGCAGGCATGTTTACAGCATATAAAGTGTAAATAAGAAAGTTTCAAATTCATTATATATTTTTCTAAATTTAGATATCCTACAATAGTTTCTAATTTATTTGAAAAATTTTGCTTAAATAGATTTTATTTCTTAATATATATGCTCACATTATAAATTTATGAATATAAAACATGTCTAAACACAGACTTATAAATTTTTAGGGATCCTTTTGTTTTCAGAAATAAGTTTTATTTACTTGAGGTAAAAGAGATGACAACTCTAAAACAACTTCTTATAGTTATTATTACATATTTCTAAACAGTTTTAAAATGGATATGTACCAGATATTAGTCTTTGAGAAAAAAAAATTAAAAAAAGAATCCCTACTAATATTTTAAGAACTGTTCTGCTCAATAGAGGATTTTTTAAAGCTAATTAACTTTGAATTGATGTTTTATATCTCAAAGGTAAACTAATAATGCTATGCAGTTTTCCCCAGCTCAAATTAAAATAATCAAATTTTAAAAGTTTTCAAATCCTTAAAGAACAAAAAAAAGCCTCCACTGTTCTGACCAGAAGCATACCTACCTTGTCAATGATCTTTTGGAAGTGGATTTCCACAGAACAACTCTGGATGTCCGTGTGTTCGTCAGAATTGTGGATCAGCACAGAGAGTTTTTTGGATCTGATTTTTTGTGCTCGATACCCAAACACAAAAAGCATTGAATCAATGACATTGGATTTCCCACTGCCATTTGGTCCAATAATACATGAAAAACGCTGCATAACAGAAGGGGGGGGAAGAAAAAAGTAATAATCATAGGGAAAAAGATCCTGGACCGTGTACATCACTCATTTCATTTGTGAACAGTTTAAAACACAGTTATTTCAGTGCATGAAACTGCAGATTATTTGATAGCTCAGTTTTTACTGCCAAAGGTAAAGCAGCTCAACTTACTTAAGAAAAAAAAAAACCCACCTCAGCTCAGCTTTCTAAATTTTAACTTGTTAACTCAAAGCGATACTGCATTTAGCAAGCATGTTCACAAGGAAAGTTCCATGATTAGCCACGTAAGTCTCTTGTGGGCACTAAAAAATATTCTCATTCTTCAAACACACCCCTAAAAGTTCTCCAGTAAACGAAATAAAGAGAAATGTGTGCTTTTTTAAGGGTTACTGATCAACTACAATTGTACAGTATCAGAAAATGGCACTTAAATGTTTTCTTTACTGTCCAGTAGTGAAAATTTAGAATATCACTATATAAGTAATTCTAAAACTTAAATATTTTTCAGTTATTTTGAGGTAAGCTTACATTCAAATACCGGAAGGAATATTAACACACAGTGAAGTCTTACCTTCATTTTAAAAATGCTTAAGGTAAAAAGAAAGATACCTTATGAAAAGGTCCCAAGGTTTGCTCCCCTGCATAGGATTTGAAGTTCTGGTTTACAATATGAGTTATCATGAGACGAGGAGCACCAGCTTCATTGGTCATGGCTGGAGGTGGGGGAGGAGAGATGCTACCCAAAATCTCTTCTAAACTTCGATTATCAAGCACCTCATTTGAAACTGCTAAAAACCATCCAAAATAAACAGAAAAAAAAAAAGACTATAAGCTCTCAATGACCAGACACCTTTTAAAATGTTCAACTGGAAAAGCAAATATTTCTATATGAACCAAACCTATACTTTTGCCTACAATGATTAAAATGAGCTAAGTGGAATTAAAATTCTTCTTTCTATGAAGGGAATCTTTAAAAAGAGATACTTAAGATGTCCCATCGAGTCACTAGTGGGTTTGTTCTTTCATTATGTAATTCTTATTCTAACACACTTTAATAGTCACTCTGCAATTACAATAGCTACAACCGTCACAATAAGCCTACAAATCTGAAACAGGCAAAGCCTTTCTAATTAATAAGTGCAAAGCCACATTTCAAGCGTGCTCACAAGTCACTCTGCAAGATTTGGGGATCGCTGCACAATGCTCTGAAAGCTGTAATGACAGCACAACTACTCTGCAAAGACAGGAAGTTTGTTACGAAAACAAACTGGCCCCCTGGATATCAGCTAGCTGTAAGCAAAGCAGCTTTTCAACAGTTACTAGCAACTTTTTCTTCAACTAGACAGCAGTTTTTGCCACCAATTTCAACATATTAATCTATTTGTCAAATACCTTGCTTTAAGAATTGCATCTCTGGCTACCTAAAAAGACACACGCTGCTGTTTTTCCAGACATTTTCAGCAAAAAAACTCAACTCAAGAAAACACACTGCTTCATGAAAAAGAAAGTCAAATCATTTTAAGAGTTAAGTAAATAAACTTGACATTTATTCCATTCCAAGAAATCCCATACCATTGGCTGCATATAAATTTGAAAAATCCTGATGTTGTACCACAATCTTAAGCACAATGTTACAGATCAAGAATATAAAATAGGCTTTATTAGGAGAAAGTCTACAAATTGCTTTTGCACTTGTACTAAGTCACTGATCCAAACACTTTAACTCTTTGCAAACCCTCTTTACCATTTTAAAAGCAGTTTAAAACTTGCCAGGAGTCAAGGCTTTCAATATTCCTTTCCACAAGGGAAAGGAGCAAATCCTATCTAGAACAGTTGGTATAATTCAACTGAATATTGTTGCTAAACAGGCATTATCATCGAGTTCACACGCCATCAGAACCACAATATTCAGACCTACCTTGTGAAGGTACTTCACCAAGCTGTCTGTTGCCTTCGTTTTCCACTTCCATGTCACTGGTGGACTCCTCTAAGGGCTCTCTGCCTTTCCGATGGGCTGCTGTTGAGGTTTTGGTGCTCTTGCTTGGCATGATCCCTCTTGGCTGTTCCCCTTCCAGTCCAAGCAATCAAACTACTGAAGAGCTCTATCTCCTTTGCTAACATAAACAAGAAACCCCTGTGATCTAAGCATTGCACTACAATCCCCTTAAAGAATATATCTACACGTGTGCCTAATTTAAAAACTAAAGACTATAGGTATTTTGAAGATAAAAATCCAAATTTGAAACAAAACCTCAAGTTTAACCTCATAATGATCTATTTTAAAAATACATCACCCCCCCAAAGCAAGGGACCGACCCTAATCTGTAGCAACTGCAGCAATCTACCTACTGCAAAGTCACACAGCCATGTTCAAGGCAGTTCCTACGTTCAGAGAAAGCGACCGTGATATTGGGGGCAAAAGAGTTAAAGACACATTCGCAATAACAAACTGAGTAGCCATATGTCTATACTCTTCTGGAAGCACTCTTCACGTAACACATTTCAGACCTGACACACATTTTTACTTTCAACAGTCCAAGCTGACTATATATTTCATCTAGATAGACAGATAAACAAAAAGACCTGCATCATTATAGCCAAGACTTGACTTTGAAACAGTTTAAACCAACACACTTGTTTTGCAAAATATAACACAAGCACTACTGCCAGCATTCAACATTTAAGAGAGAAAGCAAAACGAGATACCTTCATCAAGCTGTGATGTTAAAGTTAACTGATCAAGAACGAAACCTTTACAAAAGTCCATCAGCACAGCTCCCCAAAAGTATAAACAGAAAGCAACCGATGAGAAGAAAGACGATTGCAGGAGCGAAAGTCTCTCCAAAGAGTTTAAATTGCAGCAAAGTGGTGAAGTTAGTTCGTAGAAAAACAGACATGAGAAAGTTTACTTCTCACAAGATAAAAAACTGACGTGGTTAGAAAGTCATCTTACAATTGGTGCCAATCATTTGACGTTTTCAGACCTACCCCCAACCCACACTCTCATGAGAGTCCTTCATTTGGGACAATGGGGGAGGGGGGGGGAAATGAGAGAAAGAACTCATTTTAAGGCAATTTGAGTCTATGCCCCTGTTAAGAAGTGTTCCGCAATGGCTGTCTCAGACAATTACAACCTCTCAAACGACCAGATTTTTTTATTTTTTTTCCCAAAACTGCTCCACTCCAACAGAATTGTGCAATATAGACCTATTTACCTTACCAACCCTTCCCCCCC